AATATAAAAGCAGCCACAGATAATATAATAAGCAAATGAGAATGAATGTGTTCCAAAAAACTTTATTTATGGACACAAATTTGATTTTGTATAATCTACAAATGTCACACTAGTCTTTTAAACATTTATTTCAACTGTCTGTTGAAATGTAAAACTCATTTATTAGCTAATGGACTATATAAAACCATTTGTGACTGAACTGTGCAAAAACAGATGGTGGGTTGAATTTGGCCTGCAAGTTGAAGTTTTCTAGTTTTAATTTAGATCAGCTAATTTTTCCGATACAAAAATGTATCGGAAGGGTAAGCACTCTGAAAAAGTAAAATGGAATAATGTAACTGTGCTGGGTAGGTGGGGGCTTCTTTAGATGGAGTAGACAGAGATAGCCTTTCCAAGAGGCTTCATTTGAGCTGAGATCAGAAAATAAGAAGAAACACAGTGTATGGAAACATGATGATAGAGAATAGCAAGTGCAAATGCCTGAGGAAACAGCGAACTTGACATGCTCAAGGAACAGAAGAATACCCATGCACATATAGAGTAATGAGACAGAGAAAGCTGAGCAAAAGCAGGTGTATTTTCCTAGTGACAGGAGGCCCGTGAAAAGTTTTAAGCAGAAGAACAAAATAATTTTATGCATATTTGAAAAGTATCTCCCAGACCTTGTAGTGGAAAAGTGGACTTGTAAAGAGGCAAGAACATATATAGGCAGCAGGACTGATGACTGGTGAGGAGGCTATGGTGAGAGGAGTGGAGGTGGCATGGATCCTGGGGTTGGTGGTGAAAATGGAGAGAGTGATTAGATTGCAGCTGCATCTTAGGGTGTAATAGAATTGTTACATTCAACATTGGACAACAGGGACTTAAAGGAAAACTTCCAGAGGGCATATGGGATGGGGAGCAATAATTCTTTGAGATGTTAGAAGATGATTTGTGATACTGGAAGGACTCTGGGTCACCTTGGTCTTCTTTCCTACCCAGTCTTTCCATTCCAGCTATACTCAGGGTCAGAACTGAGGATAACAAACCTGGGACAGGGCTGTGAGACTCAGATCAAGTTGAAATGTGTAGATATCTTCAGGCAGATCCAAAAATAGCTATGGGATCAAGGGGCAAATGGTTAAATCATAATACTGGTCTCTTAATAAGAGAATTTGTAAGAAAATACTCTCTACAATCCTCTTGTAGATAGCCCTTTATGAGAGTTTGTGATTCTACCTGAATTTGGCAAGGTACTTTATTTAAAGAGGGAACCCTAAATCGGTCCCCCATCGTGAAAGTGGTAGCTGTAAATGGGATTTCCTAGGATTTAGCTTCGGCAGAACTAGTGCCAGTCCTGGCACCTGAAGCCTCTATAATGGATGGATGCTCAAAGCATATGCATTTCTGTGGGATGTCAAATTGGATCCGGGTACCTAGAAGGTATGTTGGCAGGTGAGCTGCTGGGATACAGGTGTCATATTCACTTTCCCAGGGCCCTGGACCTGAAAGAAGCAACTCCTTTCATTATATACATTAGGTAAGGCCCAGCAATGTTTGCAGAAACCAGCCCAACTAGGTCACCCTGAAAAATCTGAGAAATTACTTTGCTAGGAGGCTGATTGAGTAAAATACCTGAAGGCACAGATATGGAGGAATTGATTTTCTAAAAGTCAGATCCCCTGTAAACAAAGAATGTTTAAACTCCCACTGTAAGAAAGGATTTAGTCACTGGAAAGTAAGTATAAAAATGGCCTTGTGATGGGAAAAAACATAATGCAGTGTTTGCTTGTGGATTTTAAGGTTACTCTGAATTCTCTTTGCTGATTTATCCATACCATGGACTTGCATAGCCTGACTCACTCAGACTCAATGCTGACATGGGCGGAAGGTTCACTGCTGGCCAGGTGCTGCTTTTCTGACCCTCCTACAATGGGGTTACAGGCATTGACTCCTTAATCCTGCAGCAGCCATCCTGTGAGGCAAAGTAGCTATTTTTTTCTCTTTTTTTTGACACAGGGTCTCACTATGTAGCCCAGGCTGGCCTTGAACTTGAGATTGGAGATCCTCCTGCCTCAACTACCCAAGAGTGCCACCAACCCTATTCAACATCCGTATGTCTTTGTGACAAGCCACAGCTGTTCATGTAATGTATAGAAATACCAATTTGTATCAGTAGGAGTTAGCAATATTTATTTTTCCCCTGAGGACAGAAGGACATTCTGAAGACTCTGAGGGACAGGCAAGATTTATGGTCTGGAATTTTCTATCTAAGAGCAATCACTTGCCTGCTCCAGCAAGAAAAGATCAGCAACATTTATGTTTCATCTGCAAGGTGGGGACAATATCTCCAGCTCTCCTCAGGATCTGATGGCCTGGGGAGGAGGCCACATGTCCTTTTCAGGGGCAGTGACATTGTCTGAGCTGGTCCCCTCATCCCTCAGTCATCAGAAATGTCCTGATTGTGTCACTCTGATCCACTCAGTCTTGGCAAGAGCTGTGGCAGGATCTGGAGTATCAGCCAGGGCCCAAAATAAGGTCTCCCTTTAGTCACAGCTCACTGACACCTTAGATAGCCTACTGGGACTCTCTCTACCTCAGTTTGTCCATCTGGGAAGGGAGCTATATCACTAAGGCCAATACTTCACAGCCATAATAAGGAGCAAACACTTTAAAAGGGATGAATAAGCCACCTCAGTGTTTCTCTATGTCAGCATGTATCTCTTTGACATTTTTCACAGATGCTAGTGACCACACCACTGAACAAAGATCAGGGGCTAATCAGGCATGATCTGTTCCTATTTTATAGGTGTAGAAACTGAAGATAATAAGAGCTAAGTAACCAGCAGAGCTCTTCTCTAGCAGCAGGAATTAGAAGAACAGAGATAACAAAACTGAATTCAGACTTGGGCTATTTCTGAAAGAGCATCATTCACAATAGATTTTTGTCCCCAGAGAGTGTCCTTGTACAATGTCAGGGCTGGGAATGGTGCTCAGTGCTAAGTCATTTGCCTCAGCATGCATGAGACTCCAGTTTCCATCCCCAGAACTACAACAATAAAAAATAAATTAAAAAAAGATATTCACATCTAAGACCATGCCAAAGGTTTGGGTGCCTTTGCTTAGTACTTGCTTAAAATTAGGGCAGGTAGTGTGACCATGGTAGCTGCTTACTGAAGTGTTCCCTGTAAGAGGTTGGAAATGGGCTCTGCGAGACCTCAAGTTGCTCACAGTCTAAGAAAGAAGATGGAATGTGTGCCAATGGCCCTACTCTACAGAAGCTGGGAACATGTTCTCTCACATGGCAAAAGGGACATTGCAGACCTAGAGATGGGGGGATGATCCTGGGTTAGCTGGGTAGTGGCAATCTGACTATGTCAGTCCTTACAAGCAGAGAACCATTCTTTGCTGTGCTCAGAGGGAAGATGTAACCAAGGAATGTGGGCAGTCAAAAATGGTAAAGAAACTGATTCTCCTCTGGAGCTTCCAGAAAGGAACATAGCCCTGCCAACACTTTACCTTTAGCCCAAGATGACCCCCAGAGTTACAAGAATGATATATGTGTGTTGTTTTAAGCTACCATTTGTTACAATTTGTTATAGCAACAATAGGAAATGAACATAGCCTTGAGACATATTAGAAAGTAGAAGGTGAGCTCCAGACAACAGAGCAGAGCAGAAGGGTTTCAGGGAATTGAGGATACAGTGTACAGAAAGCCATCTAGTAGGATCTTTTTGGTGATGGGAATGCTTTGCATCTGGGTTGTCTGATATGAGAGCCACTGGCTACTTATGGCTATAGAAAACTCATAAGGTGGTAAGTGCCACAGAGTTGCTGACTTTTAAATTTTAGTTAAGCAAAAATTAAATTTAAATAGCCACATGTGGCTAATATTTAATAGTACAGGCATAGAGGGCATTGCATTTGAGATATTGTGCCAACTTTCAATGGGCCAGACCCAGCACTTAGAGTTTTAGCACACAACAGGTCATTTAATTCTTTTAAGTATCCTTTGTGGTTAGCTTATCATAGTGGTCTTCATTTACATGGCGAGACAACTAAGCCACAAAGGTAACCGGATAATGTGTCCAGGATCCCAGATTAGTGAGTGGTGAAACTAGGCTTCCTTCCATTCCAGGATCCCAGAGCCAGTACTGATCTGTGGTCCTCTACTGCTCCACATCATATTGCACAATGCCTCTTAGTCACTACACTATGCCACCATGAGGAAGTAGACATGTAATGAAGGACAAGGACAGAGAAGTAGAGGCTGCCATGAGCTATAACAAAGAGGCCAGGAACAGCTTCCTCGAGGAATGACATTCGCTCTGAGTGCTGAGGCCCAGGAGGCATTGGCCAGGCAAAAGATGGGATTCGGGGGAGAGAGAGACCCAGGTGGAGAGAACATGTGTGAAGTCTCTACGGCAAAAACGAACTGAAAGATAGAATGACTGGTGAGTAGAAAGGAAGGAAGTGTCAAAGGTCAAGGTCAGAGAAATTGGCAGAGGCCAAATCACATTGGGTCTGGTAGAATTCTGAATGTTATCCCAAGGATTTAAACATTATCTAAAGTTTTTAACATGCATGTATATCATATGCACACACACACATGTTTTTTCACCCTGACTTCTGTATGGAAAATGGAGCGGATGTGACTCAGTGTGGATTAGCAGAAGATGGTTAACTTCATCAGTAAACATCACTCTGAAATTATTGCTTCAGTATCCCTCAGAAACAGCAGTGGTACTTTGTATACATTTTTTACTTTATATTTTCAAAGTATTTTCCTATTCCTTCGATTTTCAAAAGAGAAAAAGAGAAAAAAAGAAGGGACTGTCATCACTGCTTTGCAGAAGAGTGAATAAATTCTCACAGAACAGACATGACTTCCTCAAAGTCCCAGTTAGCTAATGGCCAAGCCTCCTCTAGGTTCTGCATTGCCTGAGTCTTTTCAAAGGTCTGGTCCAGGAACTGTGGGCTCTCAGATCACTGGGTGATGGAAGCAGAGAGATGCTCCTTACCTTTCGGATGCCATCATGCTTCATTTCAATCACATGGAGGGTGTAGTTGGTCCGGCGTCCTTTCTCATTGAACTGCACATTTCCTGTCAGACCCTCAAACCGCACCTGGGAACAGCCAAATGGTGAACAATGCATTCATAAGTTGTACTTCATGTTTGTTTGTTTGCTCTCTCTGCTGGAACAAAAAGTCAGAACCCAAGAATGTTACCTGGATTGAGGTCTTGGAGAAGCCCAAATGCTGAAACTTTCCACCTGCTTGCCCATGACAGGCATCAGTATAGAGCACAGACTTCTCTTCTGCCGAATACCATTTTCACCCATCACTTCAGGCCAGTATTAACAGTGGGCCAGAGTGCATGCTAATGTGAAGTCTGAGCTGTCCCTAGTCAATACCCACACTGGGTCCCACCCCGCCTCAGATAAGCCTGTGAGGATGAAGAAACTGAAGGAGGCTGCAAAGAAAATGGGCTGAGACGCCATCACCAACTGGTCAGAGCCAAGACTGGAAGTCAGCTTTTTGATGCTTTGCATTATGCCTTAAAATGCTCCTTTATTCCTTTTGAGTTTGGGGAATAAAACACCTGGAAATGTAAAGACCTGGATTTGACTCCAGGTTCTCCATTAAAATTCTATTAACTTTGGGTTATTCACCTTTTTAAGCTTCCAGTTTCCCAGTTCCTGCCTTGCCTACCTCAAATGACATAGCTAGGACAAATGTCCCATGGAAACTGGAGAGTATCAAAGGACTCCTTATCTTCAGACCAGAGTATTCAGGGTTTTATAGAGGTGTCAGTTGGTTAAAAGATAATTTGTACTGAAGTCTTGAAATATGCTGCATGGGATTTCTTCTCTTCGAATGAGTCAGATCAAACTTTCATGGAATTATATCTTCAAGTCTGTATTAAAGGTCAAACGGTTAACATGGGGATTTGAGACCTTTAGGGCTGAGCCTGCTCTCTGTAGGTGACCAGTAGACTTCACCCTCAAATCAAAGATGAGTTCAGCTGTGTATTATCAGCTCAGGAAAAGAAACCACACTCTCTAGTGGTGACTCACTCTGTTTCCTCAGGTCCCTCTTGCCTATAGCCAGTGAGATGAGTCTCTACCTGTTACCAGTACAAATTCTGCCCTGTGACCCAGAACTGTTTATTTTTTTATCCTTTCAAATAGCTTAAAAGGAAGTCTTGCAGAGTTCTATCTTTTTGAGACAGTGGTCCGTTCCTCTGCTTTTAGGAGAGATCAGAATAGTGTGTGTGTGTGTGTGTGTGTGTGTGTGTGTGTGTGTGTGTATGTGTCAGAGAGAGAAAGAGAAGGAAAGAAAGAGTGAGAGGAATGTTTTGAGGCTGACCCTCTCATCACGTTCTGGTTTGAAGTCTCAGAGGGGAGACCATGACAGGCCAAAAGCACTGAGCAAATCATATAACAAACTCTTCATTTTTACAGCCGAAAGCTGGAGAAATCACCAGCTCTGGACAAGGCTGGGCTGTCCTTGCTTTTCAGAAAGAAAACAAAGTACAGATCCTGCTACAAAAAATAAAAGGAGCAATTCCAGCCCATCAGCAACTTCACCTTCTCACCTCTGTTATCTCTTGGCTACATTCAGCTCTTCATTGTTTCAGGTTCAAGGTGGGTTTGCTATGTTGGTGGATACCAGTTTAAGTGACTTATTTAGATGTGTAGATGACTGGATGGGAGACTGATTTACTCAAATAGAAAAAATGAGTCATTAAAAATCCAAACAGGCATCTATTTTTTGGTCCCTGTTTCAACTATCACAGTAATTATCATCATTATGGCACATTAGTATGGCAAATTGCATAATTCCTCTGACTCAAAAAACAACAAGTTTCATCACTTGTTTAATGGGACCAATTAGAATTATGCTTTAAGTTTGGTTTAAGGATTAAATGAGATATTTTATGATCAATACTTGGCTCATGGTGAGTGTTCAAAAAATGTTACCTGTTGTTATTTTTGTTACTAACAGTGATACTAATACTACCACCATTTCTCAAGTACTGGAGCACTTTCACACAGAATGCTTCATCTATACACATGGGAATCCCATGAGGTATGCTGTTTAGAGATTATCAACTTCATTTTCATGGGATAACCCAAAATTCTGGGAGGCAAAATGATATGAACAAGTGGCAGGGGCAGGCCTAAAATTCAGAGCTTCTAATATTTTCTGGCATTTTCACTTAATTTATCAAGTGGTCTCTCACACAAAGGATAGTGCCACTCTGCTAGGCAGTTGGTGGGCCACACAGAAATGTGCCATGTAGTCTATGGCAGCTGTCTTCTACTACTACCCACTCCTACAGGGCATTTCTGGCATGCTCTGTTCATCCTGAAGACAGCTGTGGACTTGTCACTGAACTGGTTTCTTGGTTTCCTTTTCAAAGAATAAAGCACTTGCACACTGTCTGCCACATGAGTATTCATAAGTGTGTATTATTTATATGATGATGATGATGACTGCAACTGTGCTGTGCAGAATGGATAAGAGGTATGGAAAATAAGAGTATCTAAAACTAAGGTCGTGGGTCTGTCTGATAAGTTGTCGCAAAGAAGGAAGAATAGAGAACTTTTCAGCAGAAAGGATTTTGGCACTGTTACTTTTATATGCCTTCTTCAGTTTCTGATAAGGTCAAGGATCACACTTGCAAAGTTCCAGTGACCAGAAGTTCCCATACCATGTCCCAGTGTCTTCACAGTAACATCAAAGCAGAGGAGCAGAGGGTATTTTGCCCATTTTAAACATAAGATAATTGAGAGCTGCTGGCATTTGGCTCCAAGATTCCTACGAAGTCATTAGAAGCCTGGAGTAACTGAGGGCCCTTTTCTGTCTACTTGAGGAAATTCAGACTTACTGAGGTAAATCACTGAGGTAAATCACAGAATCAGAGAATGAGAAAGGAGACATCCCAGAGGTGCCATTCCATGACAGCAGAGCAAGGAAAGGTCAAAAGAATGGCTGAGCCCCAAACCATTTATGAAGATAGTCAGGGCTCAGAGCCAGAGAAGAAGCTTGTTAGAAACATTGCCTTCTGGACCTGCTGTCCTTGTCTACCCATTCTGAGCTCTAGGCACTCATCCTCCTCCGTGCCCTAGGGTGAGTGAGGTCAGACTGATGGAGCCTGGGCATTTCTCCTTGGTTCCTGCCCCCAGAATCCTGGTGCCTTCCTGCCACCAGTCAACTCCCTCCTTGAAAGATGGAGGATTAATCTTAGCTTTCCTGTAAAAGAAATTGGGTGGCAGCTGAGAGTCTGTTGCCAGCAGGATGCCCCAGCATACATTTTCCTTCCTGCCTGGTACCAGTAGAGCGCAGGTCAATGTCTCTGCTACTTGAGCCTTGTTAAGACAATTACTCAATGATAGTTGTTAAAGCATAGTAAGGAACACTCTTTTATCCTGGACAATTATGATAGGCATAGGGACCACTGCAATGTCCCTATACCACAATAATTTTTCACTGGGGAAGAGATTGAGCTCAGCTCCAAATAAAGCACAGGCAAGTTGGAATTTGTAGCCTAAGAATAGGGTGAGGGGTCAGTGGATGGAAAATTCTGAGAGAAGCTTTAGGGGTTAAGGAGGGATTTGGGCTAAACTGACCTAATAGGATTCTTGCTGATGAAAAACCAAGTTGATCAGACAGTACCTGAGGGTTGGTGGAGGATGATGAACTTGATTATGGGGAGTTCTTGCTAAACTGAATTAGCAGGGTTTTTGCTAAAGCTGGATTTTACTTGAAAGTGCATGGACGAGATAGAAGGAGGCTCAGGAACCTGACTATAGTTTGGCCAGCAAAGAATCTTTGTAGGTTGTCAACATCAACTCCTTTACACCACCACCACTAGATCTAGAAAAATAGCACTGGAGAACACAGCTGAGCAGCTCTGGACCCCGGTCTTCCATCTCCTGATTGCACTGCCTTCAGGCAGATACTCCTCTGGCCCTCTTCCTGGATGCTCGCTTGTTATGAGATCTCTGATCTGGGACCCTGCTAGACCACATGTTATTTATTTGTTCTAGTCAGAATAAGTCTCATGACCCCAATGAGCTTCTACTTTCCCTTCTGAACAATAGGAAGAAAAATCTTCACCCCAGTTTTCTCATGCAGTTGCTGTGAGGTTCAGCAAAGCATATACATTAAATTTTTTAAAATTCTGAGCTTTGTGAGAAGCCAGTGGTGGGAGAGCAGATGAGGTGATCCTAGCCTGAGAATGTTAGTGATTGGTCTAAGATCTCCCAGACAGTTCTGGGTGGAGCCATGGTTAGAACCTAGTTCTTCTCTTCTTAACTGGTCAAGGTTGACACTCACAAGCCTTTGCTTGTGAGTCTTCTCTGTGTCACAAGTTTTCTTCTGTGTCAGAGACATTCAAAACCAGGTTCCTCCTTGTTCAGTTCACTCTTTCTTTAAGGCTTATGTGACTGTCCATTTCAGTTTGCATGGGATAGTTCCAGTCTACATCTTTTGTTCTGGAATACTTCATAATAATTCTTTCTCTCTCACTCTCTCTCTCCCTTTCCCCAGTGCTGGACTGAGGTGGAACCAGGTCCTTGTGCATGCAAAGTACTAGGAAGGATTCTACTAGGAAGCTATTTCCCCAGTTACCTTTCACTCTTAAGTGAAAGCGTACACTCTTAAGTGTACTGGCTTGGATGGTAAATTATATTGTCACCCCATGGGAAAGCCCAGCTGTGTTCCTCCAAGAAGCTTTGCTGATGTCCACACTCCTCAGTGCTGCATTTTGCGCTGACCATCCACTACACTACAAGCTCACCTACATAACTTAGCTCTTAATCCACATCTTTATAGCTACATTTTTTCTCATGAGGTTGTCTTGCCTTTGAGACTGGAGTTTGAGTCCTGAAACACAGGGACTGTGTCTCACACTCCCATTGCCTACCCCTACCCAGACCCTGTCCAGCAAATTGTTGGATATAACTTCACTTCCATATGCTTGATTATTGGCTGACAGACTGCAAAAACAAAGACTAAAAGGGGTGATCAGTATTTAGGGTAACTTGAGGTCTTGGGCTGGGTTTCTAGGAGTGTCTATGTTCCCCTACTCCTGGTCATGCAGAAATATATGTTTGTGTGTGTGTGTGTGTGTGTGTTTCCGGGAAAAAAAATCCAAAGATTTTCCTTTTCTTTAATCATATCCTCAAAGGTCTATGACCTCCCTCACGTATCTTAACAAGCTCTTTCTTGACTTGGGGATTTGGTCTTTCCTTTGCCAACTAGAAGCAGACATATGGGCCCCCTAACACCCCCTTCTTACTGGAGTGCCAAGGACTTCTAGGATATGGGTTCATTAATATTCTGAACAGCTCCCTGTGTGGCAAGCAGGGGCAGACAGGCAGGCTGATTATCTTCACTCTGTTGCTAGGGAAATTATAGCGGGTGAGGGGTATGGATGCATGAATATTGCCCAAGGCCTTGTGCTGCTGAGGGCTAGACAATAGCTCATGAGTCTTCCCTGCTGGACTGGGCCTTTGAGGCTTTAGAGCAGTCAAGTGTACAGAATGAAGTGTCAAATAAATGTGGGTCAGAGTCCAGTTTTACCACCAGCCAGCTGTATAATTTTAGGACATTTTTTAACCTCTCGGAAGCTCAGATTTGCTGTATTTATAAGGCACAATTAACAAAACTAGTTTCCTCACAGTGCATTATTGAGAATTCAGTGAGATAATATATGTAAATGCTAGGAGCCTTGTACACATTAAGCTCTTAAGACATCATACCTATTATTATCATTACTTTTAGAATTTAACTTCTGGTGTGTTAGACTTCCAGGTAGGCTATGGTAGGAGTCCAGGCCCAGCTCACAGACTGGCACTTGCTAAATCATAGATCCCTTCTCACTGTGTGACCTGAAGGCCAGTGGTCAGGGCTGCAGACACTGAGTACTTCAGCCCTGGGTTCCAAGGACTGGATTTCACAAGAGTTCATTCAGTCCCCTGTGGTCACAATTGGTCCTTGGTGGTATGACTGTTTCAAGAGATGGGTTTAGAAAGGGAAATGACTGTGCAGTGGCCATGTGTAGAAGGCCCTAGAGGCTAATGCTTGTGAGCAAAGTCCCTACAGCCATAGGATAGACTTGGATGGGGTAGGAGGAGGAGCCCTGGACAGGGATGTGGTTCAGCATTTGCTGTTAAGCTGCTGTGTTAGCCTGAAGAAATCACCCCTGATCTGGATCTCATAAAGAGTTGGAAAAAGACATCAATAACGCATAAGGTCTCTTTCAGCAATAAACTCTTTTGATTCTAGATGCTTATCAAAAATTTGATATGGAGCCAATTTTGGACAACTGGTCTTAGGGTAGGACCATTCTGGTTTGCTTGCTTTTTTCCTCATAGAGGCTAAGAAGAGTTTCTGTGAGCAGGCCTTGCTTTATTTTTCTGTCCCTAGTGTTTATCTCCCGGCCAAAGAGAATAGTCAGCTCTCAGAGAGCTGCTGATGAAAGGCAGGCATGCAAATGTCCTGGCTCCAAGACAAAATAAAAGAGGTCGTTCTTATTTTAACTATGGCAACTGCTTCCTCTCTAACCCTAGCAAGGCAGAAGCAGAAAATGAGTACACATTATAAGCAGAAGGATGGGCATGAGGCCATAAGTAAAAAGGTTGAACTCCTTGAGTTCTTAGAACATCTGAGGCTTGGGAGTTATCTCTCCATCCTTATCATTTTCATGGACAAAGAAAAGGAAGTCCACAGGGAGCCAAATGAATATTTCAAGGTTGCTCAGAGAGACTTGGAGCCCAGCTCTCCTGCCTTTCAGTTCAGAGCTCTGTCTGTCACTCCACATTACCTCTTGGGCTTCATCCCTGTCAACATGGTGGTGTCAGAGTATCTTTTCAGGGAAGTCATTAAGATGTGAGAGGCCAGGGATCTGGAAGAGTTGTGGGGTCAAGGGCAAGCCCCTGGGACCATCTGAAAGTAGATTCATATTGCAAACAGAATCTATCTCGACTGTTGGGTCTGGAAGAGCATTTTAAATAAGCACTGTCCCTTTCACAATCATCCTGGAAACTGCCTGGTGTTGGCTGTCACTGCCTAGTGCCCTGGGAACTACCCTGCATGGTGATAGAGGAGGCTAGGTAGACATGGCTGTGGGGTCCTCTTTAGTGTGTTCCTGCTGGGGTTAGCAGGGCTTCTGCTTTGCTTCATTCCAAAGGACAGAGCCACAAAGGCCTACACTTTGCCAGGGCTGAGAGATAGCTGCTTAGGCTACTTTCTTGTCTCTTTCTTCAGGTTGTGAACATTCTAGAGCTGTGCATGTGTGATTAAAAAACAAATGGGAATAGCTGTACATTTTGCTCTACACTTCTTCCTCCTCTCCTTCCCTGGGAGCCCAAATTCACCTTCTGTCAACATGGTCTTAAAGGTAGAGCTGGTCTTACTTAGGCAACTCCTTGGGTTGAAGAGGGGAGAGTAGGTCCTGAGGAACATTTGCACCAACTTTGCTGCTGTTGTTGTGTTTGGTTTCCCACCGTGCCTTGATGTTTTGTCATTCCTATGCGGTTAGCTGCCTGCCCTTGCCCCCGACCCCACCCCCACCTTCCTTTCCTGGCTGGCACTTTGGAAATGCAGCCTGTCCTTCAGGAGGTATTAGAGGTAAAATCTGGTGTTATGCATTGGCAGATTGGGACTCACAGCCTGGGCTTGAGTCTAGAGACTTCCAGAGACTTCTAGGAGCTCCAAGAGTGGTAAAGCAGCAGGCAAGTCTCCAGAACTTTCTAAATCAAGGATGTTAAATATACACCCACGTATACCACTGTCTCCTCCTGCTTCTACAGCAGACATATCACTAATTGAATATTTATACTCTTCTCTGTGGTATCTGGATTCAGCCTCAGAATCCTTTGCATAGCCAATTGATTGGAGTGGGCATGACCATTTCTATTCTTATTCTTTAACTGTTCAAATGCAAACACAATTGATGATGTCAATGCTAAGAAGCAAGAAAGAAGGATCAGAAATGCTGAGAAACATTTTTAGGGTGTGGGCACACAAAAGGAAAAGAACAGGGGGGACAATAGTAATGAAGACAAAGACCAGGGAATTGTTAACATGGCTTGTGTCATCTCTGCATATTTTAAGTCCCCTTTCTAAATACAGAAACCATGGGATTTCATTTTATAGCATAATCCCTGGGCAGAAAATACAGCTTTTAGATTACAAGGACTGATTATTCCACATTATTGATTTGTTTTGTTTTTTTAAAATTTCAACATGAGGTTCCATGTGTTTGCCAAGAGTCACAAGCAATGCACTGGTTGTCCCAAACTTCAGGGAAGTTCTTTCTTTTAAACAGCTGGATTCTGCCTCAATTTGATGCTGAGATTTCCATGAGATGGAAGCCATTACCAGCCTTACCTGCTGCAGAGCTCTCTGGATGTCGATCCCCTGGCCCCAGGGCACAGCTGGGTTAGCTAGACAGTCCCCGGCATTCCCCCGGCGGGATATGTCAATCCTCTGCCGCCGCAGACTCTGGAAAGCCTCAGCCATCACCTTTACCCCATCATAGGTGAGAGCAGAGGTATACTGGAGAGAGGAATGCAGACAGTTGGATATTAGAGAGAGCTGGCAGGGTGGTGGGGGTAAGGGAGCTGGACTGGAGAACTAGCTTCCAGGTGAGGAGAATGTGCAGTGGGCCAGGGGCAGGTGAGAGTGGGGTGGGGAGACAGTGTTGCAGTGGGAGGCCACCCCAGCCCCTTCACAGGGTGCTGCTCACTGTATTAGCAGTACAGCCCTCCAGAACTGTATGTTTAATACGGCTCATTATGACTTCCAAAGAGAAGTCAAAATTCTAGTTTTTGTGCAATCTTGTGTTTCTTGAAATGTTGGTTCAGTTGGGAAGAAACACATAGATTAAATACAACACATCTGCAGGCCAAATGCATGGAAAATCACTTGGCCTTCTCTACATTATAGTCACCAATTGGGAGCCAAGAAGAGCTGTTTACTCCACTATACCTTCTAACAGCAAAAGGAAATCTATTCCAAGATAAGCAAGCTCTTGGTTGTTCCTGCACATGGCTCACCAGGTGGTAGTTTTTTTGTCCTATAAACTTTCCCTCTTGCTTATTAATGAGAACTCTCAATGTTTTTCTCCACTTGGCCAAAAGGGAGTTAATATGTAGATGAGGCAAAACCAGGATAACAGTCCAGGGAAATATTTCCTGGCTTTGGAACCCATGTCTGTCCTCTTCATGAAATTGTTCCTAACCCTGCATGTGCTGTCTGGCACACTGCAAGTTCACACTAGAGACCTGTAGGATGAATGTGTAAATATTTTGCCAATTTTTAATATTGATTTCCTCATTTTTTCTTTTTTTAAAAGTTTATATCATAATTGGAAATTGGGTGGGGTATTCTCTTATTAATTAATTAACTAGATCCTGTGTGGTTCACATATGTGATTTTCTTTGTTTAAGCTCATACTGAAATAAGTCTCATTCTTAAAGAGCTAAGTCAGTTTGATCAATCCTGGGATAAGAAACTTGTAATTCACAAAAAGAAACTGACCAAGCAGCAAGGAAAAGTTTGCCAAAGATTCACTGTTTGTCCCAGATAACAAACTTGGCCTTAGAAACCTTCCCAACACAGTGGTCCACTCAGCCACTGCCAAGCTCTTTTATTTGACTTAGGAAGAAAAATTACTTGCTATCTTTATTCTAAACCATTCTCAAATAACAAACAAAATAGATTTTGGCTGCTGGATTTAGAGCTGCATTTCTGGGTCAAAAGAAGCAGATACTCTGCATTAAAACTGAAAGCCATCTGAGACAGTGACCTGATGGACAATTAGCAGACAGGTTTCCCTGATTTTTAGCTGAGCGTGTGGGGGTCCAGAGTAAGGGCCACTTGACTGCTCAACTTATGGAGGCTCCGTCTGCAAAGAAATGAGCATCCTCCCAGAGCCATGCAACATGGTGCCCCTGCCCAGATTACAGATAGCATTTCTGTTTCCCTTGAAGCTACCTGAGGGTAGTTTTCTAAGATATGGGCATTGGTAGATGAGTGGTAGATCTGCTGGTGACTTTTGGAAAGAATTCTCAGGGGCGTTTTTGGCTTATGGTGGAGTCTGTGATCAGAAGACTTCCAAATTCTTTGTGTCCTGTGGGAAGAATCCATGGCAGAACATGTGGGTGTAAATGGAGTTTATCAAAAGTTAGGGAAGGGAAATACAAAGGGGAGTATGGTGGGCCCAGATGGAATCTGGATGCTGAGAGAGTGTGTTTCTCCTTTCTAGGTGCTTTTAAAACCTATGCCAACCCCTGGGCAAGGCAGAACCAGGTGATTCCCATCCAATAATCAGTGAGTGGAAGAGGCCTGGGCAGTTCCCAGGCCAGGTGAGGGCAGTCCCTGAGCCAAAGCATAGTTAATCTGAGATGTAATGTTTTTCTACAAGTCCTGAACTTTCCCTAATTTTAGCCTGCCTCAGGGGGAGAAATTGTGCTGGTCATTTTCCACTTTATCTTTCTGCTGTGTTGTGATTTAGATGTGAAGTGTCCTTCAAAGGCTCATGTGTCCCCAGTGCAGCAATGTTCAGAGATAGGCCATTTGAGAGGACTGGATCATGACGGCACTGACTAATCAATGGATTAATCCATTGATGGATTCAAGATGGAAACCAGGAACTGGGTTGCTGATTGGAGGAAGTTTGTCACTGAGATGTGTCTTATAGGGTTTATCTTATCTGTGGTCCCTTCTCATCTCTGCTTTCTGGCTGACAAGAGGTGAGCCGTTTTCTTCTAGTGTGCCCTCCCACTGTGATGATTCTGCCTTGCCATAGTCCTAAAAGCCCTAGAGCTGAGACCTCTGAAACCACAAACCAAAAATAAATAAATACTCCTTTAATTTGATTTGCTCAGGTTTTGTCACAGTGATGAAAAGTGATGAACACATGCTGTGTAGAATGCTGATGTAATGGATAGCGTTTAAGCAGCCATCTTGGACATAAAGCAATAGTCATATGCTGAGGATAGTAGAAGAAGTAGAAGAATTCTGGGTATTTGATGACCTTGGAATCATTATACAAGCCCTGCACTACTAGGCCGTGGATTTTGTTTACATGAGCGAAAAAACAGAATATCTATCTTGTTAAGCCATTGTCATTTTGGGTTGTCTGACCCCTGTACCTATTGTTGTGTAATAATGGTTATAGATATATTTTCCTTTGCTTGTTCCTTTTAGAAAACCTAATCATTGCCAAAGGGTAATACTTCCCATAAATCTTGGCAGGCAAAGGGACCAGTCTAGTTCCATCACCGTACCTTAGGCCTTTTCCAGTCTACCCGGGTGTGGTCTCGAGCGTCACTGTTCTTCCACTGCTGCATGATCTTGGCAGGGATGGTGTCTGTGTAGTTCACCAACTGGAAACCTGTCACATTTGCTCCACTCTCCTTGAATTTATTTAAGTCAATGTCCATGAAGCCCTGTGGACAGAGGAAAGGGGAGAAGTCTGAACTTGTGGCCTGAGGAAATCAACTTAACCATGTTGCAACATCACAGGATTTTCTCTCCTGCTCCACAGGTGGATATGACTTAGTGAAGACAGCAATGCCTCCTTCCATCTGAACTTGGTTCTCACTGATTTTGTGCACTGTTGTACTGTGGTCAGGTGAGCTAGCCCAGAGCCAGCATATGTGGGGAAAGGTACTGGCTCATAAGCCACTAGTTATACTGCCTTGGACTAAGTGCCTTATCTAAGTAATGGGGTCAGAAGGCTGGGGAGACAACACAGTAGATGGTGTGTATTAAGTGAGTGGTACCTGATAATTGGTAAGTGACTGGGATTCCTGATGACAGATATGTAGAACCTCCACATATCTGCAAACCTCCAGGACAGGAATTGCTTTACTTACTATCCCCTTCACCCTTTTGAGTTAGAAAAATCTGACATCCATTTTCCATAGGGTAAGTGCTTATGAATTCCCCAAGGTCACCAGCAAGTCTGTGGAAGAGGCTGCCTTCTGATTAGGGTCTTTAGCCTTTACTCTGTACTCTTTTATTTACAGGGTACTGGATCTGCTCTAGCTGATGAGGCCTGGTCAATTCTAATATCCACAAAGCCTTCTTTGTTGAGAATGGAAATTGATTCTAATTCAGTAAAATTTACACACTTAGGAAACCATCAACTTAAAAGGAAAACTGCATTTATATAATATATCTAATAATGCACAGTACTTTCATATCTATGGCCTCATTTCACTTTATCCCTTTGTAAGATACAATTTACATGTCTATGTGCCAAATAAAGAAACTGAGGTAGATTGGGAGAATTGACTTGCACAGTTTAGTTAGTTAGGGGCAGAGTGGAGACCAGAACTAAGTTCTTTTGTTAGACAATTCACTCACTCCCTCACTTACAAATTCATCATTCAACAAACATTTTTGAGCACCTATAGTGAGTGCTCTGTTCTATGAGGGCGAATAAAACAGGTTCCTTTCCTCATGGACCTTACATCCTAGTGGATAAGTTAGGCAATAAACAAATAACCACATAAATTTACATTGTAACATAGTTCAGTAGTGTGTGCTCCTCAGTGGTGAGGCCTATGAAGAGAGAGAAAGTGAGGAGGTGTACCACCAGTCTTTGGAAGGAATGATCTGGATAAGTCTGCCTGAGCGGTGTTGTTGGCACTCACATCTTCCCTAAGGATGTGAGTAAAGCAAAGCCTTGTGGGTGAGTTACAAGGATATCTGGAGAAGAGCACTGAGAGCAAAGGCCCAGAGGAGCAGAGATGTATGACATGTTCCAGGAGCAGTAGGAAGGCTGGTGTGACTGTAGTATAGTGGTGAGAAGGAGAGAGGGTAGAAAAAGATTGGAGAAGCAGCCCAAGCCAAGTTGCAAGCTGCCTTGTGTTAGCTTGGGTTTCTTTTTCACTGTAGGATTTTGAACAGCGATTATAAAGTCCATGCTTATTTGGGTCCATGGTTTGGAGCAACTGCATCATCTCAATAGGAGAAATGGGAGGAACTGAGGATGCATTTGGTGGCTGGGGGAGACACAGCTGGGAGCCAAGAGGACTGAATGCTGGTGCCAGCTCTGTCTCAGGATCTGGCAGCATGTTTACATCTCTGCTTCTCATAACTTCATCTCCTTTTTCTGATCTGAAAGAATGGACTTTATGATTCAAAGACCTCTATCTTCTGCCTGTGACTCTAAAGTTCTGTGATACTTTAGTGCTTCTGTCTTACAAACAAACCAAGCTTATGTCCTTGCTATTCTCTGCCTGGGAATGCAAATTCTATGGCTGGCTCCTTCCCATCTTTTGGATTTTAGCTAGAACACCATCTCTTCAGAGAGGTCTTTCCTGACCCCTTATTTGAAGAATCAGTCCTTCTTGCCTTGTAGTAGACACTGTCAGCACCTTGTTCATTTCCATTCTCCCATATGCACTGGGCATGCTGAGGAGTTCATATGCCTGGAAGCAGCTCACTACCCACAACAGGTAGACAGTTACTAAAAATTTGCCCCAGAATCCTCTTGCCTGTTGCACAATGCTGAGGTATGCTCTATTCTGACATCTAGAGATCCTCTGAAGGACTGAACTCCTGTAGCCTGCAGCTTAAGTTCTTGGTAATGCTTCTTTATGTCTGCTTTCCCTTCCCCTCCCTACCTGACTTCTTTGTTCCCTATTGTGTTTCTAGTATTGGCAACCAAAGAAAGCACTTGTATTTGAATCCTTGCCTTGGAATCTGCTTCTGAGAGAACCCAGTTCAGTCACTTCTGACATCCAGCCAACCAGTTCTATCTCAGTGCCTGCTAGAGTTTCTCCAGAACATCTGTCGCCATTTGAGATTATCTTGTCTGTTCATTTGTCCCTTTGGCCTCTTTCTTCCCATTGGAATACCAGCTACTGAGCATGGGGACATTTTCTGTCTTGTTCACTGATATGTCCTGGAACCTAGCACCTAGAACCATGCTTGTCGCAGAGTAGATCTCAATACTTATTTGCTGAGTGAATGAATAAAAATCATAGACTTTCCTCAAGCAAGAATGCCAATTAGCCAGGGGAAACATGACTAGAAGGCAGCAAATGCCAGTGGATGACTTGTAATTGGCTGAAAAGAAAACCTAAGCTTGAGATTGACATACTCTATAGTCATAGCTTCTAGAGTTTTAAGAGATAACTGATTTGCACAAGGGTACCAGCAAGCTGCTAGTAAAGGTAAACTCAGAATTAGCTTTCTCTACCCAACATGCATTTTAAGTGTTGTACCATGTAGAATCACAGCCATCCCACCACTGGTTAAAACCCAGTACACAGTTGAGAGACTGTCCATACTCTTTATAGACTTTAAAAAAGAAACAACTTGTGCAGCAAAAACCTTTGATAAGATTCAACACCACTTTGTGATAAAAGCTCTAAGAAAACTAGGAATAGTTTTCTTAACATTATAAATGCTGTATATGACAAACTTATAACCAACATCATACTTAATGGAGAAAAACTGAAACCATTTCCCCTAAAATCAGGAACAAGACAAGGGTGCCCCTTGTCTCCCCACTCCTATTCAACATAGTCCTGGAATTCCTAGCCAGAGCAATAAGGCAAGGAGAAGAAATAAAAGGAATACACATAGGTACAGAAACTGTCAAAATATCTCTATTTGCAGATGACATGATCCTATACCTCAAAGACACAAAAAACTCTACCCCAAAACTCCTAGACACCACAAACAGCTTCAGCAATATGGCAGGATACAAAATCAACTTACAAAAATCATTAGCTTTTCTATACACCAAGAATGAACAAATTGAGAAAGAATATATGAAAACAATTCCATTTACAATAGCCTTAAAAAAAATCAAATACCTAGGAGTAAATTTAACAAAGGATGTGAATGACCTCTACAAGGAGAACTACAAACCTCTGAAGAAAGAGATCAAGGAAGACCACAGAAGGTGGAATGATCTCCTGTGCTCATGGATTGGTAGAATCAACATAGTAAAAATGCAATCTACATGTTTAATGCAATTCCCATCAAAATCCCAATGACATTCATGACAGAGATTGAAAAATCTATAACATGGTACTGGCACAAAAACAGATATGAAGACCAGTGGAACAGAACAGAGGACCTTGATATGAATCCACACAGCTATGCCCACCTTATTTTTGACAGAGGTGCCAAAAACAAATGTTGCTGGGAAAAGTGGTTATCTGCCTGCAGAAAGCTGAAACTTGATCCATGTCTATCACCCTGTACTAGTATCAACTCAAAATGGATCAAGGACCTTAATATCAGACCTGAAACTCTGAAGCTAGTACATAAAAGAGCAGGGAATACTCTGGACACAATAGAGTATAGGCAAGGACTTCCTCAATAGAACACCAGCAGCCCATTAACAAAGAGAAAGGATGGACAAATGGAACTACATGAAATTAAAAAGCTTCTGCCTAGCAAAATAAATAGCCTCTAAACTGAAGAGACCACCCACAGAGTAGGAGAAAATATTTGCTAGCTATACATCAGACAGTGGATAGATAACCACAATATACAGGGAACTCAAAAAACTAAACTCCCCTCAAATCAATGAACCAATAAAGAAATGGGCAACTGAACTAAACCGAACCTTTTCAAAGGAAGAAATCCAAATAGTCAAAAAACACATGAAAAAATGCTCACCATCTCTGAGCATAAAGGAAATGCGAATCAAAACCACACTAAGATTATACCTCACCCCTGTTAGAATAGCTATCATCAAAAACACCACCAGCAACAAATGTTGGCAAGGATGTCGGGGAAAAGGAACCCTCATACACTGTTGGTGGAAATATAAGCTAGTACAACCACTTTGGAAAACAACATGGAGCCTTCTTAAAAAACTAAACATAGATCTGCCATATGATCCAGCAATCCCACTCCTAGGGATATACCCAAAGGAATGCTATTCAGGTTACTCCAGAGTAACCCATGCACACCTGCACACCCATGTTTATTGCAACACTATTCACAATAGCCAAGTTATAGAAGCAGCCAAGATATCCCACTACTGATGAATGGATTAAGAAAATGTGGTATTTATACACAATGGAATTTGACTCAGCCATGAAGAAGAATGAAATCTTGTCATTTCCAAGTAAGGAAAGAGGGTAGGGCGCCCTGAGTGCTGAAGAATGGGGGAAGGGAATCCTTCCTGGGACAGTCAATAATCAAGCCAGGCGGGCTGGAGAGGCTCTGGTGGGAGAGGGGGCACGTGCCCAGCAACCAGGAGCGGGAAAACTTGTGAGAGTGCCGGAGGGAGGAAAACTCCACAGGAGAGGAGGGAAGACCTCCTCACTTCCCACGTGAACTGTAAACAAACATGGCAGCTGGCAGGAGCAGCAGCACCGCCCAGTAATCAGGAGCAGGAAAGCTTGTGAAAGTGGCGGTGGGAGGAAAACTGCACAGGAGGAGGGGAAGACCCACCTCCCACATGAACTGTAAATAAACACGCAACCCTGACAACGCGGGTGCAGTGTCACCTTTCCCAGTGTGCTTGGAAAGGGGAAAGCTTGTAGCAGAGGCTCACGCACAGGAGAAATCTGAGTAAACAAAGCCTGCAGGGCCAGGTGAGTGCTAAGCTCACCCCTGAGATCTGCATAAATAACGCCTCCCACATCAGCAGGCTGACAGCAGTGGGCAGGCAAGCCATAGCTGCAGATACCATTCTCAGAACTGTCTCCAGACTCTTTTTTTTTCTTTGTCTCCCTACCTTTGATGAGAGAACAACCGAATTATACCTGCAAGCTGAAAAACTTACTGAAACTGTATTGCATATCAACTTGGGACACTTGGTGGGGTTTTTTTTGTGCATGTGTGTGTAGTTTTGTTCTACTTTATGCATCACCTTTGATGAGACAACTGCAGAACAACATCTGAGGCACCATCTCCAGGATTGGAGACTGAGACGGACACCCAAATTATTAAGACTGAAACATCATTGCATTTGAACTTGGAAGTTTTTTTGTTTTCTGTTTTTTTTAAACTTTTTATTTTTCATTTTATTTTAATTTATTTTTATATATATAGATTTTTCTTTCATTTACTTATTTTTAATTTTTGTTCTTATCTTTTTTTTTATTTTTGATTTTCAATCCTCTGTCTCTCTAATGTCTGTTCAGCTTATTGTCGACCAAAATGTACAGGAGACACTCAAGAAATTCCAAGACAATAAAAATAGAGAATTTGAAAAAGCAAAAGAAGAAATAAAGGAAACCATAGAAGCACTGTACAAACACCAAAGTGAAAGAGAGAACACAATGAATAAACAGATAAATGAACTCAGGACAAAAATAGACAACATTAAAGAGGAAACCAGCCAGGACATGGAAAACCTCAGAAAAAAGAACGAAACAGAACTGCAAAACAAAACGGAAGGCCAATCCACCAGAATAGAACAAACAGAAGACAGAATCTCAGAACTTGAAGATGAAATGGTAATTAAAGGAAAAACCAAAGAACTATTAATTAAACAACTCAAGACCTGTGAAAAGAAAATGCAAGAACTCACCGACTCCATCAAAAGACCAAACTTGAGAATCATGGGCATCGAAGAAGGGGAAGAGGTGCAAGAGAAGGGAATGCATAATATATTCAACAAAATAATAACAGAAAATTTGCCAAATCTAGAGAAAGATATTCCCATACAGATGCAAGAGGCCTCCAGGACACCAAACAGAGCAGATCAAAAGAGAACTACTCCACGACATATCATCATTAAAACAACAAGTTCAGAAACTAAGGAAAGAATATTGAAGGCTGTAAGAGAGAAAAAGCAAGTAACATACAAAGGTAAACCCATCAAAATCACAGCAGACTTCTCAACAGAAACATTAAAAGCAAGAAGAGCATGGGGTGAGATCTTCTGGGCACTGAATGAAAATAACTTCAATCCCAGGATACTCTACCCAGCAAAACTGTCATTCAAAATTGATGGAGCAATAAAAGTCTTCTATGATAAGCAGAAACTAAAACAATATGTGACCACAAAGCCACCACTACAAAGGATTCTTCAAGGGATTCTGCACACAGAAAGTGAAACCCAACTTAACCATGAAAAGACAGGCAGCACCAAACCACAGGAAAAGAAAAAGCAAGACAGTAGAGAGTAACCTCAACATAGGTACACACAATCAAACCTTCAAACAACTAAGACAACTAAATGGCAGGAATCACCACATACCTATCAGTACTAACGCTTAATGTTAATGGACTTAATTCACCCATCAAAAGGCACTGCTTGACGAAATGGATTAAAAAGGAAGATCCAACAATTTGTTGCTTACAGGAGACCCATCTCACCGACAGAAATAAGCATAGGCTTAGGGTGAAAGGCTGGAAGAAAATTTACCAAGCCAATGGCCCCCAAAAACAGGCAGGAGTAGCAATACTTATCTCTGACAAAGTAGACTTCAAACCTACATTGACCAAACAAGATAAAGAAGGACATTTCATACTAATAAAAGGGGAAATAGACCAAAAGGAAATAATAATCATCAACCTGTATGCACCCAATGTCAATGCACCCAATTTCATCAAACATACCCTGAAAGACCTAAAAGCATATATAAACGCCAACACAGTGGTTGTGGGAGACTTTAACACCCCATTATCATCAATAGATAGGTCATCCAAACAAAAAATCAATAAAGAAATTCAAGATCTAAAATATGCAATAGATCAAATGGACCTAGTTGATGTCTACAGAACATTTCATCCAACTTCTACACAATATACATTCTTCTCAGCAGCCCATGGAACCTTCTCCAAAATAGATCATATCCTAGGGCACAAAGCAAGTCTCAGCAAATATAAGAAAATAGAAATTATTCCATGCATACTATCTGATCACAATGCAGTAAAAGTAGAACTCAACAACAAAAGTAAAGACAAAAAACATGCAAACAACTGGAAACTAAATAACTCATTATTTAATGAAGAATGGATCATTGATGAAATAAAAGAGGAAATTAAAAAGTTCCTGGAAGTCAATGAAAATGAAAACACAACCTACCCATGTTTATTGCGGCACTATTCACAGTAGCCAAGTTATGGAAACAGCCAAGATGCCCCACTACTGATGAATGGATTAAGAAAATGTGGTATCTATACACAATGGAATTTTATGCAGCCATGAAAAAGAACAAAATGTTATCATTCGCTGGTAAATGGATGGAATTGGAGAACATCATTCTGAGTGAGGTTAGCCTGGCCCAAAAGACCAAAAATCGTATGTTCTCCCTCATATGTGGACATTAGATCAAGGGCAAACACAACAAGTTGATTGGAGTTTGAGCACATGATAAAAGCGAGAGCACACAAGGAAGGGGTGAGGATAGATAAGACACCTAAAAAATTAGCTAGCATTTGTTGCCCTTAACGCAGAGAAACTAAAGCAGATACCTTAAAAGCAACTGAGGCCAATAGGAAAAGGGGACCAGGAACTAGAGAAAAGGTGAGATCAAAAAGAATTAATCTAGAAGGTAACACACACGCATAGGAAATTAATGTGAGTCAACTCCCTGTATAGCTATCCTTACCTCAACCAGCAAAAACCCTTGTTCCTTCCTATTATGGCTTATACTCTCTCTACAACAAAATTAGAAATAAGGGCAAAATAGTTTCTGCTGGGTATTGAGGGGGTAGGGGGGACAGGGAGGTGGCGTAGTGGGTGGTAAGGGAGGGGGTAGGCATGGGGGGAGAAATGAACCAAGCCTTGTATGCAGATATGAATAAAAAAAAAATTGTCATTCTCACCCTAAAAAAAAAAAACTCTTGTGCTATGAGGCTTAATTTATCCATACTGCAGGAAAATGAACATGTACTTGATTACAAAAAGAAATAAAAATATTAACTCTTTGTCTACCAGTTCACTGGAAAATTCAACTCACTCTATTCCCTGGAGTACTCATTAAATAAAGTTTAATTAAATAGTTTCAATTTCCTTTGCCATTTTATTAATAAAAACCTTGGTATTAGGTGATTAGTGTATTTTTCATTATCTTCTTTATTTGTGCTATTAATTATATAATGTTGTTTAAAGACACTATGTTGTTAATTTTATCCTAGTAAAGATTTTAAATATTTTAGTTATGAAGCTTGATCATCACTACTCTCTTTGGGTCATTTTGCCTGTTTTATACCATGCTCCCAAATAGTGAGTCTACTGATTAATACACTGTGACTATTGAATAAGAATGAAATTCATCTATAAGGTGCTTAATTTTCAAGTTATTCAGCAAGAGAAGTCTCCTAAGCCAGACTCCCTCTACTGTCTCCCTAGCCCTGGCATCAGGTGCTTGTCTTTGAAGTGATTGTTTGTAATCCAAAATGGAGCTTGGTGGCTCCAGGAGTACATTCCTGAGGCTGTTACGTCCTCATGCTCTTGTCTGCTTCTTCCACACCTCTGTCCATTCACACTGTCTGCCCCACACGTGCCTAATACATGGGTGATATGGAAAGGATGAACTTTCTGTCATTTTCATCCAAGTGCAAATGGGCTGGCTGAAGAACTGCAAGCTCAAGATGGTGGGTCTTGACACAAGCAGCACACAGAATAGCTTGGGAAGCTTTTTAAAAACAGCTATCCCTAAGGGCTGTCATTTTTTTCCCTGAAGGAGAAACTAGATATCTGTATTGTGACAAAACTTTAACACTGGGGAATCAAAAGTCAAGGTTCAAAATATGAAAATCATGAATGTAATTGGCAAGAAGAACACTAAGCAATAGTGTAACCAACAAACATTAAGGAATGGATGTAGGGTATAATATGAAATGATTTATCATCTTTCTAATGGGAGTCACAAGTGGGATTAGATAGATAAAGCAAGAAAATGAGAAACAGACATGTAGATGTGTGAAAGAAATAATCACACTACCATATATAGGAAAAGTTTAGAATATTTACTTCAGAAGTCTGAGATGGGAAAGAGCAGGTATTTGCTTGTTGTTTTAGATCCTTCTACAGTATTTTTTACCATGTAAATATATTGCCTTTTAAATACTACTAAAAATAACTAAGACCGTTAGAAGTTCTGATATATACTCTGGTTAGTAATCATTCATCAGTCACTGGAGAGGGGAAAGGAAGGCGAGTGGCAGGACAGGGAAGAGGAGTTATTGCATTTGTTGAGGCCGTGTTAGCTGTTTAGGGAGCCCTGTGTACTCTGTCATCTCCTAGCCTGGAATGAAAGAACACTTGCTGCTAACAGCTCAACTGAAACACAGCCTCTAAGCATTGCTCATAAGAATAACAAAAATGACAAGAATGGCTAAGATGCCACTTCATATGCATTATATGACTTTATCCCAACCATCTTTTGAAATTTTGAGGTTACTGCTATTGAAAAATAATCAAGAGTTACCCTAGCTTCATTTTAAACATTCCCCTAGCTCTTATATTAAGCAGGCATTCTCTTCAATGCTTTGTATACAGTCCTCTTTAACTCCCTAAATGGTCCTAAGAGGTAACTGTGTGCAGTTGTTATTGGACACTTATTTTCATAGTGACTGAGTGAGTGTCCATCCTAGTCTTCTGTTGAGAAGGAATGGTTCAGAGACCTTTGGAGCCTTCCTAAGATCACACAGCAAGCGAAGATGAAAATGGTGTTCCAACCATAAAATGTATCTTTTTCACCAATATGCTACACTGCCCAATCCACAAGGGACATTTGAGTGTACATTTAGGATGGTGCATCCACATTACCCCAGTCAAAGGGGGGCACAGAATCTCAGATTGTGTGAGAATAAATTTCTTGCCCTGTCCGAACAGAGACCTTTCACAGCCTTCTATCTTGAAGGGTCAGGAGTATTGTTTCTCTCCTGGACACCACCCTCTCTAGACTGTTTAGATATTTCTTAAGCATCAAGCTTTTCTAAAGCCTTACTGCCCACATATCCTGCATTCACACCAGAGTGCAGCAAACTTCTTCTGTGAAGGGCCAGATTGTAAGCGTATTATACTCTGCAGATGGTACAGTTCTGGTCATGACTACTCAACTCTGCCATTGTCGAGGGTGGCCATTGATAATAGCAAACAAATGAACATGATTCTCAATAAAGTGTACTACTGGACGATGGAATTTAATTTCTTATAATTTTTATGTTGCAAAATGTTCCTTTTTTTAAAAAATGACTTAAAAATGTTAAAACCATTCTTAGCTCATGAGCATACAACATCAGGTGGCAAGGGCTATTACCTATGGGGCACTGTTTGTTGATGTATGACCATATAGAAGCAAAGCAAAGTTTTTGGAAATATAGCCAAACTCCTCATTGCATAGACAGAGAACTGAGGTCCAGAGAGAGTGAGAGAGCTAGGGGTCTAAGATTGTAAGGCTAGTTAGAGGACAAGCTGGGATTAGAATCTGTCTCCCATGTGCACTCACTGTAGAAGGTAAGGTAAGCCTGCACAGCTATTTAAATAGAATGATGAGGAGTGAGGAGCTCAATTAAGTAAACTAGTTAATACAGTCACTGCATCTATTATGTCTATTATAATTTTCAGAGCATTAGAATGAAAAGGCATAGTTATGATATCCTAAAGAGATGTCTAACACTGTAACTTCATGGACATGCTTTCATCCTGCTGTGAAGAACTGGAGACTGCTCTAAGGATCTTGAGGAGGCTCTGAGCCATCATTATGACTATTAATTACCATGAGTGCTTGGAAACAAAAGAACCGATTATGTGTCATTACTGGTTAGTTAATTTCTTCAAGCTTCAGTTCTCTGGATTTTAAAATGCACTTGTAATAGTACCTATATCATAGAATTGGAGCTAAAGTTCATAAGAATTCATAGAATTAAGCATGGAGAGCTGTGTCTGGTACATAGTAAGTGCTTAAGGAACATTAGCTTTTATTCTTATCATCACATTTGCCATCCTCATTATCATTGGGTTAAAAGAGGTTAGGTGTTGTTGGAACTGCTTCAAAACCAGGGATTGGGCCAGGCAAGAAACTAAGAGCCCATGAGGCAGGTATATAGGAAGCAATACAGCTTTTGTAGGATGAAAAGCTTTATCTTCAAAGCTGGATTTCCCTTTTTCTGGGACTCTTTAAAGGGGTCACATACAAGCTGTTCAGCCCTCAGCATCCTGCCTGAGCAGACACCACACCTGGCAGAAGGAAAAGGGAATATCCAGCATTGATAAGGGACAGGGCCAAGGAAGAAGGTTTATTAAACAAATCCTTGCACATCAGAAGGAGCGCTCTTTCCACCCCAGCCCCTTGAGATCCAGAAGAGGTAAGATTAGACCAAATCAAAGAACTTGTACTTTATACTCTGGATGGCACAGTTGAAAATGTCAAGTTTCCTCCAATTGTCAGAGAAAATCTTAGATGACAGCTCCATGAAGAGAATAGTTATAGGGAAGTACAGCTTGGAAAGTCTTGTTATGTTAGAAATACTTGAAAAAAGTGGAGATGACCAGCCTAAAAGATAATAGAAGACAAAGAGTATAGGTGAAGGAGGTACTTGAATCTGAGGAGGGTTGTCATGGGGAAGAGATGGAAGATTTTTCTCTACTGTGGAAGGTAGGTCAGAACTAATGAGTGGTCAGATGTTATGGGAGGCAGATTTTTGACTAGAACAGTAATGACAACAGCCATAGTGTTTCAAATATGTACTACGTAGTAGGCATTGTCCCAAGGTACTGTATATTATCTTGTTAATCCTCATAACAATCCTGTGAAGAAGATACTATTATTCCTGTTTGCAAACTAGATATTAGAAAACTGAGTTTTAAATCATTGGAGTAGCTTCTGCTAATGAAGGACAGAGACCATAGTCTTAGCAACACTCTAGGGCTTGTGCTCTAATCACTGTACATCTTGCCTCCTACCCTCTAGTTCAATCAGTCTTGTCCATTATGTCCTGACTGAAAAGAAGTCCTTGAAATGGAATGTGTCTTTATACAAAGAAGGAATTAGCCGGTTTCCATGGGACAAGGGTGTTTGCCCTCAGCACCTTTGACCTGTGCTGTTACTTGAGAGTGTGAGTCACCAAGCCCTTTACTTCTGCATATCTTTGGGCTCTCCACAGTCTAGTTGAGGCTGCAGTGGTTTTTTTTCATGTGCCCTATGGCATTGAGAGCCCCTGGAGGGCAGAGCCCCACAGGGTTTATACACAATTCCCAGAGAAGGTGCATGTTTAATATATGCTGAGGGATGGAGGAATTGGAAGCTTACCCTTTTCACCTCTTAGTTTCAGCTTTGTCACATGGACCAAAGAGGCTTTTTATTGACTTTTTTTTTTGTGTGTATTATGTTGTGAATCAGATCACAACCAAAAGTGTCAGGAAAAGAGTATTAGGGACAACCACATAAATTCTGTCCCTTCTTTGAACCTCATGAGTTGTGTGCCCT